GAATTCGTTCACATATTCCCTCCTGGGCATTTATTCGCACATGAGTGGATCCCATATATATGACTTGTGAGCCTTATGATACACTTATGATGTTTTGACAAATTATGACTTGTTTTCATGTTTTATTATGACTATTATGTTTGAGGATTAGACTAGCATGTTGTTATGTTATCGGGTGAAAGCACGCGTCAAAGGGCGATTAGGGTTATTGGGAATGTCTATGTTGAGAGATAAATTTAAGGAACAAAGATAATAGGAACGTTTTGAGAGTTTTCCCACCTCTTGATTTTAACTTAACTTCTTTCTTGCTTGTTATTTTATTGGAATGAAAATCCCCTTTATATAAGAGGATTACAAAGACTAGTAAAACATAAAATGAAAAGGAGAATCATTAAAGCTCCTTACCATAATTATTTCCTATCTCTATAGGAAATAAATCAATTCTAATAGTAAGGATAATAAATCAATTCTAATAATAAAGATATTTCTTTAATCACATCACATGTGCATTTGGGTTGAGTTGACCTAAATGTGGCATAGCATCTCCGTAAAAATTGATTTAGCTTCCGCACTTTATTTATATCAGTTAAGACTTTATTTACCTATCTTTGCCCAACAAATGCTTTAAGTTGTGTTTAAAAATTGGGGGTGTTACAATACCATCCTGACTTACATGTTTCTTTCCTTTTTACTTATCTTCCTTCCCTTGGTTTATTCTGTTATTACCATTCTTAGCATTCCCCTTGTTTTGGTAAGTCTGGCTTTTCCTCTCCGCAATCATCCATGTGTCATACTTGTCACCCAACGGCTCTTTGCTACCCGAGATGCTCGCTTGATTTCCGGCTTTCTATGTAGGATTTGGCTCCGATCCGGTCGCTGGCGTACCGCCGTTAGCCTGGTTAACTCCACCGTCCATCGGCGTATCCTGCTCTGTATTCTGCTTTTCTGATTTGCAGCCTTCTCTCCGGTGTCCAACCATGCCGCAATTGAAGCAAACAAGGTGGAGACCTTCGTACTCCACCGTTCTGGTCTTATTTTTCAACTCAAACCTAGCCACAAGCGGTTTTGTTATATCAACTTCTACACAAATTCTGGCAAAGAGACCACGTGAGGCTATGCTTGTAGCTTGATCAATCTTCTTTGGTGCTCCAAACTTCGTTCCCACCCTCATAAAAAACTCATAATCATAGTGTTGTGTTTGTCTCATATAAGGATTAGGAATATGAGTTTGTCTCATATAAGGAATAGGAGTGAAAGGGAAATTATATGCCTATAAATATATTGAATGTATTTCATCACCTGGATCACCATCACAAATAATAAGAGAATACTTTCACTCCCGTGGATGTATGCACATTGCCGAACCACGTAAATCTTGTCTTATTTACTTTCAGCCATTATTATTTTTCTTGTTCTTATTAATCTCAACAAATTGGTATCAAAGCACTGTTGAGATGACAAGTTCAAGTACAAAATTCGAGGTATCAAAATTTGATGGTACATGGAATTTTGGGTTATGGCAGTCTAGGGTAAAGGATTTGTTGGCACAACAGGGTCTTCTGAAAACTTTGGAGGCGGAAAAGCCAGCTAATCTGGAAGAGAATGGTTGGGAGGATTTGAAGGAGCGTGCAGCAGGAACCATTCGGTTATGCCTAGACGATGGAATTGTGTATCACGTTATGGCCCTGGAAGCCCCAAAAGAAATTTGGGATAAATTGAAAACTCAGTTCGTGGAAAAATCTCTAATGAACAAACTGTATCTAAAGCAAAGGCTTTATGGGCTTAAGATGCAGGAGGGTTCAGACTTGGTGCATCATATTAATGTCTTCAACCAGATAATCTCAGATCTGGCTAGGCTTGATGTTAAGATTGAAGATGAAGACAAGGTGATGATCTTGCTATGTTCATTACCTTTTTCCTTTGAACATCTGGTGACTACTCTAACATACGGGAAAAACACGATTAAATACAGCGAGATCTCTGCGGCCCTGCAGGCTCATAATAAGCGCATGCAGAGTGTAGGAGATGGATCGTCTGTTGGTGAAAGTTTGTATGCTAAAGAGGGTTAGGATCGTGGAAGGAAGCAAGAAAAGGGTAATTCTGGGAGGAGAAACTCTAGGTCTAAGTTCAGAAATAGCAGGAAAATCCGGTGCTACAAGTGTAATGAGATTGGGCACATAAAGAGAGACTGTCCAAAGTTGAAAAAACAACAAGAGGCGGCGAACGTGGTGCATGCTGATGACTCAGATTATAGTGAAGGTGATGTTCTAGCAGTTTCATCGAGTAAGTTGTCAGATGCATGGATTCTAGACTCAGGATGCTCTTATCATATTACACCTAACAGGGAGTGGTTCACAACCTATAAGTCAGGTACTTTCGGTTCTGTTTTTCTGGGTGATGATAGATGTCATAATATCATAGGTATTAGTGATGTTAACATCCAGATGTATGATGGTATTGTCAGAACTTTGCATGATGTCGGACATATACCGGGATTAACTAAGAACCTGATTTCTCTTGGCAGTTTGCATGCTAATGGTTTTATTCATAAGTCTGAGAGTGATAAGGAAACCATTAAAATTAGTAAGGGTGCTTTAACTATGATGAAAGGGAAAAGGACCACAGGGAACATTTATAGGTTGTTGGGTAGTACTGTTGTAGGTGGAGCACATTCTGTTGAGTCTAGTGATGATACTACTAGGTTTTGTCATTTACGTTTGGGTCACCTTGGTGAACGTGGTTTGTCTGATTTGCACAAAAGAAATCTGTTAAAAGGAGTTAAATGTTGTAAGCTAGATTGCCGTCGTCGCCGCCTCCAACCTCCGCCGTCGTTGCTGCATCATCCCTCCAGGTTAGTCCTCAATTTTTTAACCCTAATCCCTAATTTCTTTGTTGTATTGTTGAATTGTCCATATGTGAAAGCTATGAATGTTCTTGGCTATGATTTTGTCTACCCTATATTTTAGTATTTTACTAGGCATATAGCTTTAGTTTGATTTTGGCTATGATTTTGGATGAGTTGATTTTCTGTATATGAATTATGAAACCTGGGCTGTACGAGTAGTAACTTTTAGTTTTGCTAAAATCCCTGGTTATTTTCTTTATTATACTTTTAGAATTAAACATTTAAACCTTACTTTTAACCTTAATATAATAAGCACTGAAGTTTAACAAGATCACTTTTCAAGCAGAACTACTAGTGCTGTCTATTTAGCATTTGTTCATGTCAATTAAAAAGAAACATTTGCTTTAATCATTTATATGATTAAAAATTTAATCAGTCAAAAAAGATTTATACAGGTTCATAAATAAAGTAAGAAGCAAAATGTACTTTGAGATGCAAACACTATATTTTCTAAACCACTCTGGATTTTGATGTTTATAGAAAAAACCACAGCTTGCTACTTGCATCTAATAACATTCTAATTATGTTAATTCTGTGTGTCCAACAGGAAATATTATTGAAATAATTTGGAGAACTTGTATGATGTGAACAAAACTAGCATGCCCAACAATTAGATAAAGGAAACAAAAAGGGTTATTTTGGAAATTTTACAAAGTTGATCCAATATTCTGATCTGGTTTTTGATTCTTAAAAGCTAATGTCCAGAGATATCTCTTATCCCATCATAGCAATAATTCTTTACTATCCTTATAGCGAATCATCTCTTTTTCTCTTCTTGTTTGCTTTTATAAATGCTCTCAAACTGGCACATCAGGCAGAGATGTATGTTCATCTCCGCATTGGGCCTTATATTTGTGGAGAATGGAATTATGGGTAAGATTATTTTATATGCATATATATTTAGTTATATATGATCATGTAAAGTGGGATCCTAACTTAATTGTATGAATTGTGGTGCAGGGGATTCCTTGTTTGGCTAAAATTTGTGCCTGGGATTGAGTTTAGAACAGACAATCAGCCTCTTAAGGTTGTCTACTTATTTAATTTGTTCATATATATTTTGCTATATATTCTGGTTTGCTAAACTATGGTGATTACAACAAGGTGGGTATGCATCGGTTTGTTGAAAAAATTGTGAACATGATGAAAGTGGAGAAAATGTTTGAACCTGACGGTGGACCTATTATTATGAATCAGGTTAGAACTGAAGCTAAGGAAGAAGATGGATTATATTGTATATTGGCTTAATTGTATAACTATTATTGTCTTTGTGTTTACTGCAGATTGAAAACGAGTATGGACCAGTGGAGTGTGTTATTGGTGCCAAAGGTAAAGCTTATAGAAAATGGTTTTCACAAATGGTTGTAGGTCTCAACACTAGTGTCCCTTGGATTGTCTATAAACAAGACGACGCCCCCAATCCAATGGTAAGTAGATTGTATAAATAGGTGCTAGAACTCTGGACTGCATGGTAAGCCTGGATCGGAACAGAATTATTCTAACTCTCTCTCTTTTGATTCACTCTTAATTAGCTTGCTTGCTTCCATGAATTCAGGTTTCCATCATATGGAAGTCCGATTGCTAAAAGATCTGTAGAAGACACAGGTTTTTCAGTGGCAAGGTTCGTCTAGAATAATGGTTCATACTTGTAGAAAACTAAATAGAGAAGCCATTCTACTATGAAAACTGGAGTGGAAGTCCTTTTCTCTTATTCTCACTTTCTGTATCTAACACTAGCACAACACTTACATATATATACAGGATGGAAGCATCTGTTATGTACTTATGCCTCTTCACATTCATTCACATTTATGTCTATTATAACTCATGGCTATTCACATACCTGCCTGTTCATATCTAACACTCCCCCTCAAGCTGGAGCATAGATATTAATCATGCCCAGCTTGTTACAAATATATTTAACCCTGTCCCTGCTGAGCCCTTTAGTGAACAAGTCAGCTAGTTGATTGCCACTACACACATGAGCCATAGAAATCAGTCCTTGTTGAGCCTTTTCACACACGAAATGACAATCTACCTCAATATGCTTTGTCCGCTCATGGAACACTGGATTATTCGAAATGTGTATAGTCGCTTAATTATCACACCATAGACGTATGGGCTTCATTACATCCACACCAACCTCTCTCAAAATATTGTGTACCCAAGTGATCTCACATGTCACATGAGCCATTGCCCTATATTCAGATTCTGCACTTGATCGAGCCACAACAGTTTGTTTCTTGCTTTTCCAAGAAACCAAATTACCTCCTACAAACACACAATACCCTGTTGTAGACCTCCTGTCACTCAATGAGCCTGCCCAATCAGCATCAGAAAATGCCTCAACTCTCATATGTCTATGATCAGCATATAGAATACCTTTCCCATGTGCATTCTTGAGATATTTTAAAATTCGAACTGCTGCTTCCCAATGAGTTTGCGTAGGTGTTTGCATGAACTGACTTACCACACTTACTGGAAAAGCAATATCTGGACGTGTAATGGTGAGATAGTTCAATTTCTCCACCAACTTCCTATATCTCTCAGGAGAGTCAAGGGCCTCCCCCTCACCAGCTACGAGTCTAACACCATGCTCCATAGGTGTCTCGCATGGTTTTGATCCCAACAACCCAGTATCATTAAGCAAATCTAGCACGTATTTCCTTGAGAAAGAAATATTCCTTTCCGAGAACGAGCAACTTCGATTCCTAGAAAATACTTCAAAACTCCCAAATATTTCGTATGAAACTTTTCCTTGAGGAAAGATTTAAGAGCTTCAGTCCCTCCTGCATCACTTCCTGTGATTACTATATCATCAACATAAACAATCAAGAGAATGCAACCAATGTTAATATGCTAGAAAAAGACAGTATGATCATACATACTCCTCTGCATACCAAACTTAATGATCACACTACTAAACCTCCCAAACCAAGCTCGTGGGGATTGCTTCAGGCCATATAGAGACTTTTTCAATTTACATACTTTCCCAGACTCCCCCTGAGCAACAAACCCAGGGGGTTGCTCCATGTAAACCTCCTCAACCAATTCACCATGCAAGAATGCATTTTTGACATCTAACTGATATAAAGGCCAATGATTAGAAGCAGCTAAAGAAATAAAGATACGAACCAAAGCTAGCTTGGCTACATGAGAGAAGGTTTCTGTGTAATCAACACCATAAGTCTGTGTATACCCCTTTGCTACTAGACGAGCTTTAAGTCTAGCCACAGACCCATCAGGATTCACTTTCACAACATAAACCCACTTGCAACCAACTGCAGTCTTACCGGTCGGGAGGGGTACCAAATCCCAAGTATGATTGTCCTTTAGGGCAGCCATCTCCTCCTCCATTGCACGTCTCCACCCATCATGAGCTAGAGCCTGACTCAAAGTATTCGGAACTGACACAGAATCTAAACGTGATACAAAGGTGCGAGATGATATTGGCAAATGATCATAAGACACAAAAGAAGAAATAGGGTGTTGACAACGACGTTTACCTTTACGAAGGTCAATGGGAAGATCTAGATCATTTGACGAAGATTCTGGTAAGGAAGAAGTATTCACTTGTGGTTGGAGCGGTGCTACTTCATCTCTCGGCCGTCGAGTATAAACCTGTGTAATGGGGGGCCTAGAAACAGACTCGATTGGTATAGAATAGTATACGTAAGGAAGTCATTATTTGGAAGAGACCCATACCCAGACAATTCAACACCCCTAGAGAACACCATATTTTCAAAGAAAGTAACATCAGCTGATACTAAATACCGCCCCAAGTCAGGTGAATAACATCGATAACCCTTTTGAGTGTGCGAGTACCCCAAGAATATACACTTAAGTGATTTTGGATCAAGTTTCCCGCGTTGAGGGCGAACATCCTGAACAAAACAAGTACACCCAAATATTTTTTGGCGGGAGATGAAAAAAGGGTTCCGTCGGATACACCAAAGAATAAGGAATTTGACCTTGAATGACAGATGAAGGCATCCGATTGATAAGAAAATAGGCAGTATGAACAGCATCAGACCAAAAAACCTTAGGTACTTTCATTTGAAACAACATCGCCCGAGCTACTTCTAACAAATGCCGGTTTTTCCTTTCTGCCACGCCATTTTGTTGAGGGGTATACGCACATGTGGACTGATGGATTATTCCATTTTGGCTCATATAGGTGGAAAAAGGTTTGGAGAAGTACTCTTGTGCATTGTCACTCCGCACATACTTAATAGTTTTATTAAACTGGGTTTTGACCTCAGCACATAAATTACAAAAAATAGTAAACAATTCATCTCTAGATTTCATAAGATATAACCGTGTACATCTAGAGAAATCATCCACAAAGGTTACGAAGTATCTAAACCCATTTTTCCCTGTGACACGACACGGACCCCATATATCAGAGTGAACAAGTTCAAATATAGATTGTGCTCTATTATTGACACGAGGAGGGTAGGAAACCCGACAATGCTTAGCAAACTCACATGACTCACACTGCAGAGTAGTCAATGATTCTAAACCAGGAAAGAGCTTCTTTAGGACTGAAAGTGATGGGTGACCATACCGATAGTGTAGATGGAAAGGAGAGGTATTACTCAACATGGCCTTGGATGGATATGTAGATTGCTCCAATACGTACAGTCCTCCAACTTCCTTCCCCTTACCAATAATCTTCTTCGTCAAAAGATTCTGGAATAAACAATAACCGGGAAAAGATGAGACAGAACAATTCAAAGTCCGTGTGATTTGGCTAATAGAAAGAAAATTAAAGGGAAAATTTGGAAGATACAATATGGATGACGGGGGTAATGATGAGGTTGCAACAGCACTACCCCTACCCAAAACTGAAACAGAAGACCCATCTGCTAGAGTAACCGTAGCCCCAGGGTTAAAGGGAACATATGTGGAGAGAACATTAGAATCACCTGTCATATGGTCACTAGCCCCGGAGTCAATAACCCACTGTGTAGATGAAGAAGACACACATGCAACAGGATTACCTGTTTGGACAAAGGTTGCAGAAGAAGACGGTTGATTGGGTAGAAACTGGGATGGAGACTGCATAGAAGAAGAGACCTTCAGTTGATTGAACGCTACTAACTCCTCATCAGTCATAACCACCAAATGTCCTTCAGACCCAGAGGTTGTTTTAGCAAACCTTTGCTGTTTTGGAGGTTTAGGACATTGGTTTCTGAAATGACCTGGTTCCCCACAATTAAAACATACCCTTGGTCCTACACGACCTCATCCGCGACCTCTTCCATAACCACCACGTCCTCGATAGCGACCACATCCACATTTACTATTGTACCCTTCGTTTGTATACTTCCCTTGCGACACAAACACACTTCCTTCATCATTGATTCCTTGTGATATAAAAACACTCTTCTCGGGAGGTTCACCAGTACTTACTGTTGCATTATGTATCTGGAGAATACTTGGTCCAACGATCCTAACTCCTTGCTTCCCAACAATTGTGACCTAAGAATCTCATATTCTTTGTCAAGTCCAGAAATCCAGCTAAAGGCAATTAATTGATCACGTTGTTCTTTCATTGTCTTCACATCAGTTGTAATAGGCATTGCAGTACACAAAGCTTCACTTAAACTTTTAAAATCATAATAGTAGTCTCTTAAATCTCGACCATTTTGATTAGGACGATAGACATCTTGAGACAACTGATATAGTTTCCTCAAATTACTTGACCCACTAAACCATTTAGATACTAACTCCCACACTTCTTTAACCGTGGTACAGTGTTGCATTGATAAGATAACTTTCCTATCAATACAATTGATTATCCGTGATAATAAAGCTTTATCATCTGATTCCCAATCCTTATTATCTTGAGGGCAATCATTATCTAAATGGTCACCTTTACCCATTCCATCCAAATTAATTTTAACCACAAATTTCCATTCAGCAAAATTAGACCCATCAGCAGCCAATATCACATCAATTAATTTGGACGGGGTTGACACCACAGTAATGGACTTACTTTCTGCCATAATATATAAGCTCTAATGCAAATATATATTATGTATTTTCCAATAGAAAAACCAAACCTCTTTCTCTCAGACCTGGATGCTTTCGCTGCCAAAATTGGGTTCTGGTGGTTCGGGTTCAACACAGAAGAAGAAGAACAATCTTGTCGGATGACTATCCTTCACTTAGCCGGATGACTACACCACCACTCCAGATCTACTGTGCTTCCAAAAATGATCCTGTCGGTACAAATCGCGACCGAAAAAGTCGCCGGATTAGGGCACACGCGCCGGCGCGTGATGTCGGAGCTCCTGGACTACGGCGGCGCGTGAGACCTCCGATGGCAGCTCCGCTTCCTTCGACGGCGTCGCTTCTCTGCTCCGACGAAAGCCCACTACCCTCTTCCACAACTTGGCTCTGATACCATGTAGAAAACTAAATAGAGAAGCTATTCTACTATGAAAACTGGAGTGGAAGTCCTTTTCTCTTATTCTCACTTTCTGTATCTAACACTAGCACAACACTTACATATATATACAGGATGGAAGCATCTATTATGCCTCTTCACATTCATTCACATTTATGTCTATTAACTCATGGCTATTCACATACCCGCCTGTTCATATCTAACAATACTTCAACTATTACATGGTTAGTTCTTACCCTGCAGGTATGGCCGACGACCAGATTTTTTAATTTAATTTCTTGGTCTTCTGATCTTACCCTAATCCCTAATTTCTTATTTGTATTGTTGAATTTTCCATATATGAAAGCTATGAATGTTAATGTGTGCTGAAGATCAGAATGTTCTTAATTTATTGAATTGATTGGTGAATTCTTGATTTGGGAATATGAAATTGTTAGGTTTGAGGTTTCAAAGGTGATAGGGTTGTGATAATGAAGCCTTCGACACTGCTAGAACAAGCTAGCAATTCTGGTGCAGAAATTGGACCTAAAACTGAGGGCTCAACAACTAAAAATGATAAGAAGGGGGCTGAGCTAGTGGATTCTGATCAGGCTGCTCAAAGAAAGGGAAAGGATAAAGTCATTGGTGCAGTAAGGAACTAGGAAAGCCTCTGATTTGTGCTGAAGTAAATGATACTCTGTGTCTTGTGAAATTTACCGATTAGGAACTGAGGGTACAAATATTGGTATGAAGATCTGAGTTAGTATCTGGGAGGCACAAGGGAGGACCACTTGACTTAGTTTTGTGATTGTTTGCAGCTTTACTACACACTTCCTCCTATGGTCTAATGTTGGTGGCAGTATGCAGATAAAAGTTTGGAGAGATGCAAAGGTATCATGCTGTAGAGTTTATTATCTCTCTTAGCTCTAGACTTCACATTCAAAAATACTAAGAAATGAATTTATGCTAGATTGATGTTTGGTTTTACTTGTTTGGTTGGGACATTAGATGATGTAAGGTAATTAAATGTTAAATATTAAATAAGTTAGTTCAAGGGGAATCTGTAACTAAAGCAATAGTAAACTGCACTTATTGATAGAAACTAGAAAAAAGGTTTACTTAGCTTGTTCAGTTCAGTATATATACCTCTATATAAGAAACTACCTCTAGATTTGTACTGTTTAGTAGGAAACAATCAGAGGAGGTTC